AGCGGTGTTAGACTCAGCTCGTCCAGACGAATCTTAGGGTGTGCCACACTACAGTAACACCTAAAGTGTATGGTAGATACGGTAAGAAAGCAACATCGCGAATCCGTCTGAAACTTTGCGTAGGGGTAGTTATATGACCCTCCCACGCAAAGTTTCAGACGGATTCGCGATGTTGACTTCCTACCGTATCTACCGTACTTCTCAGGGGTTACTGTAGTGAAGCATACCTTAAAATTCGTCTGGACGAGCTGAGTCTAACGCTGCTTTTACTTTCAAAAAATTTCTATTTTGAAAGAAGTTATGACGATGCGACGCTTGCGACGGATTTTTATGTAAAATCACGTTTCTTTTGCAAAAGTTATGAGCAGTATTGTATGCTAGCACTAATGAGCTGTAAAGTGGAGTGGTATATCAGAATAATTGGCTTGCAGCGTCATGTATATTGGAGAGATCAGAGGAGCATCTGCATGAGAATTTGCAAAACAACGTTGAGAAAGAGCTGGCCAGGTTTAACGAAGATTTGCTCGGACAGAAGTATGTTCTTTCTCAGTTTTTATAAACACTGATACATATCCATGGAAGCCACTCAATATTCAACAGCAAAAACCTGTGTTAGTGTGAATATACACATGCATATAGTAAAAGTTGAGTTCCTAACAAAAGGATTTGCAAATAGCCTATAGTTTTGCTACTGTTTATTAATATCATGCATTAAACTCTGGATATAGACGTATTTAAGTCTTTTTCTATATTCTGATTATCTGGAAGATTTACGGGATCATACTGAGATGATGATACAGCGCAATACTGCCATCTTCCTAAACAGCTGAAGGGCTGTTGTGCTGTATCATGATCTCAGCGTAACCCTTTATATGTCCTAATAATAAGAATATAACTTCGCTAGTAAGAAAGCTACATCTTGTAATAGTAGCGGGCAATGGGCTAAAAGATAAGCACATTTTTGCCAGCGCAAAAGATATTACACTTAATTAATTTTTCATTTAGAACTTACTTAAAGCATTGACTCAACATTCCAGCACATATTGACGTGATAGAGTCGTTCAAGGCGAATCGATCATGATGTCCAGAGATTTTTAAAATGAAGAATTCGAGGACGACAAACGTCATCCACCATGCTGATACCTACAAATTGCAAGTATTTTATTAAAAACTATAGTCTCAGTACAGTCAGAGCTATAGTCTCAGTAAATTCCCCTTGGCTCGTCTAATCTAAAACCTCTTGCCGCTAGTATCCTCGTTTTCTGGAAAATTAATGGTGTCTTCGAGGGCAACGTCATATCATCATTATCAGCAAGATGGTATAACCGCTGAATGAGCTTCGAGGAAATCAAAATTGAATAGTTCAACTTAATCTAACAATAGAGCATGAATTCGACTATCTGAAATTGGAGAAGCTACCATTGCTGAGTGTAAGCTACAAACAGCATCTTTATATCAGGATCGAGGTCTCTATCTAAACCCGTTTTTATCTATTTCGCTTAATGTG